CACCCCCTTCCAAAAACTTTTTGTACCCAGACAAAGCAAGAAAGAAAAGAGACCCATGCTCTAAGACACTGTGATATTTGCATGCACCTAAAACATTTAAAATGGACACTACAAGAAAATTATTTGGTCCACTGTTCTCAGAATAATAAATAAACTTGTCCAATGATACACATTTTAAATTAACAAATAGTTATGAATATATTGATTTAATTTGCCTTCAAACCATATAACTGTAAGAATCTTCACATCACAGGATATTCCTTAAATACACCCAGTATTATTTAAAATATAAAATAGTTATACAAATTTACAATACATTCTTAACATCCTCCTATGCTAACGATTAACATTTTTAAAATGCAATGAATTCTGTTCCAGAATCATCAGCTAATATTAATCTGTAGCAGAGGACGGCTGCCAACATTTGAATGTGTTGTAAATTCTGATGACTATTTTAGAAACAGTTAATAACTTGTTACCCAAAAGGTTAGAAATTAGTTGCGCTGTGACTACGATTCACTTTCTTTCCAATCAGCCTCGACGCTCGCATGGAAACTGATCGCTTGACTTCGGCTGACTCTGAAGAGTTCCCGCTGAACTGCTGGATCATGTTAGTAGGTAAGGACTTGAAGCACTTCTCAGCATTCTCAAGTTGCTTGGCAAGAATCTCATTTTTCAGCTTCTCAGCATTTAATTCTCTGCGTAACTGCGCCTTTGACTTGTTCCCAAATGGACAAAGTACACGGTGCTGGATGAGGCTGGTAGCTGCTGGGCGCATTTCAGGATTTGGGTGAATCATTTGCTGCAACAAAGGGCCTAGATTGCTCAATCTGTGATACAACAGTGTGAAACCTTCATGACCTTACCTTTAGTGGTGAGCAAGTAACCCCTAGTCCACTGAGGGCGACCGTGCAAACTAACACTTAGATTAAATCGGCATTTTAATGATTTAAAGGGTGGAGACTATCATAAAATGAAGTGTACTATATTCACTATATTTGTTAATCTATTCATAGAATTACTGAATAAAATGTAGACTATTAATGACATCCATTTTTCCTGTATACCAAAGTTCTGAAATAATCTGACTAGAAGCTTCATTTACAACCCTTTTCTGTTTTGTTCGAACATATTTTATTCTTCAAAACATTGGAAATTAGATGGAATTAAAGTGACGGGAAATTGAACTCCATTCTTGTGAATGTACACACAGGGCAAATTATTAGCACCCCAGCAGGACACCAATATCTTGATGAAATAATATGGATAAGAAGTCTGAATTTTATTAAAAGGTTAGTGATAAAAGCAATGCCAGCTTTGAAATGTGATTGAATATTTCTGTGATTTTTACATTTCATAGGACAACAAAGAAGGAACAGCTTCTTGGACTGAAGTACTTTATATTCCAAAACTGTTGCAAATTTCAGGGGAATGTTAGTAAGAAATCTCATCCCTGAAATTAGATGATTCAGCCTCCTGCGTCACCCGTTTCACTAAGTATTACAAGGTCAAAATAAAACCTCACCTTTATCAGATCATTGAAGTCTTGGCTGCAATGCTGCAATTCCTTCAGCTTTCCTTCTCGTATGTTATGCCATTCTTCACCATTTTTAGGTAAAGGTCCTCCTCCTCCAGTTTCATATATGGTCAGACCTACATCACAAGACACAACCTTAGACAAAGATACTCCCAGAACACAGTATGTAACTTTGATGTATAAATGTCTACGTATGAACTTTACTGTAAACCTCTTACTGCATCATACTTCTCATGAAAAATGTTTCAGTTAGTGATTTTATTTTCTGTACCCAATAGCAAGTTATTTTGAAAAGCATATACTACATGGAAAAAGCATCTGACTATTTTATGATACTGTCATACTGGATCATCTGCCATATTAACTGCCACGGTGGTCTAGCGGTGAAAAAAAAAAATTGTTAAGGGAGATGGCCCCTCCCAATTTATTGGTCAAAATCATCCTACCACATCTCATTCTGTACTATGGCAGATTTCTTTTTCGTGTCCAGTACACACCACTCAGCATGGTGTGCATTGGTGGTTAGCAGGATTCACGACCCATCAGTACATGGGTTCGATCAGGACTGCAACATTTAACGCTCCTGCTGTGACCCCCTTTTCGCGAAATGATGATGAAAGTGGAGTAATTGTTGGGATGCCACAGAGAAACCCCGGAGGAAAACTCCAAGATGCCTGGACCACGGCCTTGCCCAACACAAGTTACAAATCTGAGCACCGCCGGGAATCGAACCCGGGACCCCAGTATTACAAGCCCAGTGTTCGAACTGCTAGACCACCGTGGCGGTTCCCTTAACAATAAACAGTACGTACCCAGACCAAATATGTCTGCTTTTGTTAGATGGCTGAAGTCTTCCTGTAGTATCTCACATGGCAAATAACGGCAGTCTCCCTCTTCTACTTGTGGGTTGCTCACAGAAGTAACATGCCCCAAGTCACCTGTACAAAACAACAGGCATTTACTCAGAGTCTATGAAATGTAAATGTTTCCCAATGACCAAACACAAAATCTTTATCGCAGCGTATACATTTATAGACACCTGAATTGGAATAAAACAGGAGGTCATGTCTGTTGCACAATCTGCTGTCTGCTTCACACAAACCACTGAATGAATACTGATCAAAACTGGTATGGATGGTAAACTGTACAGAACCAATTAAAAGACACTTTAGTTGGAACTGCATACTTCATGTACAGGAATGATTTTAGTGTTAATCAAAACAGCAGACGTGAGAATAGTCAATGAAAAAAATTTTCAATATGGGAACCACTAGCATTCAAGACCAACTGTAGTTGATCCTGAAACTTGGTAATTACTGTGTTTAGGGTTCCTGAAGTGATTCTGATATCAAGAGGTGACATTTCTTCTTTTAGTTCATCAACTGTGTGGAGGCTGTTTTTGTACACACTGTCCTTCAGATACCCCACAAAAATTAATCATAGGGGTTGAGATTGGATGAATATGGTAGTCAAGGCCAAACCATCCAGGGAAGCAATCAAACACCAAAATGCCCACTGAGGGCATCTGAAACGGCATTTGCTGGATGTGTTTGAGTACCATCCTCTTGAAAAAATGATTCTTCTTACTGATCATCAATGCCTTGCAGAAATGGGAGGATATCTTCATAGACCTCCGAATAATGTTCAGATGTGACTGTAACAGTGAGGAAAATCAGACCAGCAATTTCTGTGCCTGAAACAACACACATTACACTGTGCATTTTCTCAGGTATAATGACGCCTCCAATTATCGAGAATTCAGATTCTCATGGCGGTAAGTAAGAAGATGGCCATCTTCAGGGTTGTTACACCATGTAGTCTGGCAGAATTTTACCAAAGTGTACTCCATCATCAGGGCATCACCCTATTGATGGAGGCAGCTAGCACCTCTGACAAGTCAGTAAATATCTACAGACTGCACAGTACAAGAACCCAGAATACAGCAATCTTCATGCCTCCATTAATTGGCTACAATTTGGTTCATATTCAAATATTCTGCTTTTTAATATAATGACTGAGGTGAAAACAAATCTCATCTGCAAACCACATTTTTCACAGACTGCAGGATTTCCGTGCAAAAATTGCAAAACTAGACTGTAACCTGCTCTCTCCTCAAGCACCTACATGGCGTATAGTGGGACAGCTTTACTATACAATACACTCATATAAAAATTACCTATTTTATAGGTTATTTCTTCTTCTGCGGAGACTGGGTCATCCTCCTCGAAACCATCGTCTGCCGAGTCATAATTCAAAGCATGCAGTCTCCTGTTCCTAGATATGAATATGTTGCCAGGCTTGATGTCCATATGGACCAGTTGCATCGAATGGATATACCTGAAAACACGTGTAACGTTCAGATACACTAAAAGATAGTGCAATGTTCTTGAGAAATTCAGTTTATTTTTACTATCCATCAGATAAGATGTTTACAGACTTCAGTGTTGCGTTTGGTGCCTAAAATTAAATAGTACAATGGGGAAATGGGTACCGACAGCATAACGCTCATACACAATCAAAAAAAAAAACTGTTACTGTCTACCTTGTAGCAGAGGAAGCCAAGGGAACTCAGTCTAGGCTTGTTTCACTCAATTATTGTGATGTATTTATGTTTGGCAACGGGTTTTAGTAGTCTTCTTGTATCTTCTATATATTTCCTTCTGCATTAGCATGGCATGTATATAAATTGTATTTCAGACAATGGACAGTGTACAACAGTGGTCCCCAACCTTTTTGTGCCTATGGGCACATTTGAGAGTTTATGAGATCGTGGCGGGCACCAACCAATTAACAAAGCCAAATTTTCTTTACTCTGGACAAATAAGATATGGACACCAAATAATACACAAAACAACACGACGTTTAATGATACAAGAAACCATGCAATCAAAAATATGTAGTTTTATAAGTACAATTATTATTACTCAAGTGGGAAGTTAGTGTGATGTTTGGCACTGCATTTCATCAGCCAGTTTTTCAAATTTGGTAGTGTAGGATGATGTTGCTGCTTACAAACAATCGTCAAGATGGGCGTCAGTAAGTCGAGATCTGTGCTTTGATTTTATAATGTTCGTGGTTCATTATTCAGTATAACCTCTTTCTGTATCAACGCGGGCACCCAAAAAAACCCTTAGCGGGTGCCATGGCGCCGGCGGGCACCGCATTGGGGACCACTGGTGTACAACATAATAAAGGTATCAATTACCAGCCACTGTCTAAACAATAATTTCAACTGTGTGTTGCCTGTAATGTCTTGAAGACATTCAATGGCTATGCTAAAGTAAAGAGCTTTACATACCTTAGTCCTTCTGAAACGTGAAGCAACAGTCGCCTCAGCTCAGATTCTGTGAAAGGCCTTTTCCCATGCCGACGTTCTTCAATAACATCTGCTAGGCTTCCACCATTGCAAAATTCATTTTGTATGATCATATGGTTGTCTTCTGCCCACGCTGAATAGTAGCGCACCACATGTTGATGTTGGCCCAATACTGCATGCGCATACACTTCATTCAGTGCTGTTTTCCTGCAATAAGCACATTTCAACATAATACATAAATAGAACTACATAGAATGATGGGTTATGAAAGTTAAACTGATACATTACAGTTAACTACATCATAGTAATTGAAGCTCTGATCAAAATAATACATTATCGGAAAAATGTGTAAGTGGAAAGCTCACTCATTCACACTGCCAGCAACAGGTTTGATACTCTTCTTTACAGCATAGGTGCAACCATCTAACCTATTGATGCATTCATACACACTGCCAAATTCACCAGCTCCAATCAGACGAACCTCAAGGAATTCCTGAAAAATCCATAAAGCAAAGACCATATTCATTATTTAAGTTCAATATTTATTTACCTATACAACTTCTTAGCTTCATATTTCACCACAGTTTTAACAGTTCACTACTTCCTAATTTTGTCTGTTAACATATTAGAAAGTGATTGGAGGCTCATTTAAAATGGATTTGAGGAAAATATACTGTGAGGATGTAAACAGGATTTACTTGGTTTAGAACTGTGTCAGTAAGGTACAAGAGGTGTTGCACCTTTGGTGTTTATTATTAGGGATGTCATTGGTTGCTTGACCTGTATTTACTAGTTAATCTTCCCATACCTTGCGATATCGTGGGATATTCGAATCTTGAAGTGCCAGTCTCTTAGTTGGATGTTCTACTTCCGTGTCAGATTCTTCGGAGTCATTCAGTTCAAATTTAGGAACATCAGGTCCATCAGTTGGTGACCTAAAACGTATTGATGATTATTTCAACAACTCAGACTATTAGAGGTAACTAATTCTAGTACCATTTTATGTTACAAGCCACAAAACGCAATTTACATATTTTGAAATATATATCTCTACTGGAAATGAAACAAATTTTGACAAGAGTTTTCAACATTTTGAGCATGGAATTTCCCCCAAATAAATTACATATATGGCAAAATTAAGTCAAAATAATAACAACAATAATAAGCAAAAGTAATCCCAATAATTATAGGAGCAACTGGAACTGTCTCCAGGTCACTCAGAAAATATTTGGCCAACATCCCAGGCAAACACGACATCACGGAACTGCAGAAGACCACCATTTTGGGAATTTCATACATCATTTCATAAGACCCTGTCATAAAATAAAATTATATAATACACGTAGAACTTGCTAAAAACAATATGTATCCTGGAAATAGCTGTTGCCCTATGTACCTTAGGGACAAGGTCTGTCTTGTGTACATGGAAGTACATACCCCATAAAGTGGTGGATAGATGGGATAATAATACTACTTTATTTTCCTGTATATCAAAAATACATTGATATAGGATATACAATAATGATTATGATATAATCCCATTGGAGATATAGCATTATATACATTAGATTATCAGTAGCCAATATTAAAAAATTCTTCATTAAGATGTTATGTTCAATACAATCAAATGCTTTTGATAAATCTAATAATACATAATTGCACTTTATTTTATTATTCAGATTTTTAATTATATTTTCAATGGATGCAGCAATTGCATCATTTGAAGATTTATTTTTCCTAAATCCAAACTGAGATTTATTAAGTATATTGTGTTTATCTAAGAAAGAAATTAGCTGATTAGCTATTACCTTTTTCAGAACCTTTTAAAAAGCCGAAACAAGAGTAATTGGATGATAATTGTCTGCATCTTCTTTTGTAAATTGGTTTAACAACTGATTTTTTTAATGTAGATGGGAAGATGCCTTCTCTAATTGATGCATTGATTAATTCTAATAGTGGTCATAATTATAACAAAAGCCTAGTTCTGAAAATGTGTATGACCAACACGAAAAACATCTGAAATACTAACAAACTGTGTTTTTACATGACACTTGTGTAAGTCTGATGGGAAATGTCACACAAAAATTATTATAATTACAAAACAGCAAGCAGCTCACAGTATTCAAATCAGAATGGATTATGTTAGGGCTAGTAACTGTGTACAAGAAAGCAATTAAATGAGAAGTTTGGATTAGGAAGCTTGTAATGTCTAACATTACACTTAGCAACTGCAAACATGCCCAAAATTCAAAGATGGGTTATACAAGGTAATTAAGTCATAAGTTAGGCATATCTTGGCTGATAAATGGGAAAAAATGCTTTTATTACACCTGCACTTTAAGAAAACTTCTGAAAATGTATAGCAACCTACAGGTGGCACTAAACAGTGTGATATGAACCTACTTAGTTTCACACATCATTATTCTAACTATATATTTCTGAAGCACTAGTGTTCCCTTAATTCTTGGAGCTTAAATGATCACTTACCCCACAAGGCTCCTCTTTGATCTTGTCCGTTTCTTCGACATTAACAGCATGCCATTCGGAGTAAATGGATTCACATTAGCAGATGGTTTATCTAATTTTGGATAAGAACATGTCAACCCTTTAGGATTTTCAATCCTACTGAACAATCTAGAACGAGGCATTGGAGTAACTGGAGTATGAAATGAACATTTTTCAAGCAATGTTTTCGGTGTAGCTGGGGAGTCAAATAGTCTTAGCGCTCTCACTCTTTTATATGGAGGTGAAACTGATTGGTGTTGCACTGAAATACAGTTCTCTTCCCTCGAAGCCAGTTCATTCACACATTCCGGGGAAGAATCATCAGAATGTGTGGTAAAAGTAAATTTTGGAATAGGACTACTAGAATGGAAATCTTCACGAGACATGTCAAATCCGTGTTCCATACTCGCATCACATCCAGAACTCGTTGTATACGCACTACTGTCAAATTCACTGTCATAAGTATATGACTCAACATCCAGCTTTTGTGAAACTTCCATAGTTACATCTACCACAACGTGTATACAAATTCAAACTATTTTACATATTGGAAGGGGGAAATATCAGTAGAGCCAATATGGCAGAATGAGCAGTATATTGGCAGGTTTCAACAGTATCATGACATTTCAATATTATATACTCTAAAAGTAAATAGATTACTTAATCTAAGCATAATATCTTAAATATATTAAATGTAAACACTTATACTATATAATTTAAAAATTTTCGAAAATTCTTCAAAATGTAATGTTGGCTAAATTGAAGAGTCGCTTTAACTGAAAACCGCCAATAAATGTAGACTATGTCCTAAAATATATTAGTACATGATTATTGCCACCATTAGCGCTGGAAGTCTTAAAATAAATTTGGGTAAAAAATATACAATACGTTTATAAAAGTAATACCAAATTATCTGTTTTCGTCTTTTTTAAATTGAAAGAGTAATGCAGCGTATTGGCATAAAGTGAAGGAAGTGAAATGAGTAGGTTTAATGTTCTGCGTTGGGCAGTACCAGACAATGTGAAGGATTTATGCCCTGATGGCATAAAGGTTTTGAAATTCGAAAAAAGGGATATAGTAATTGTGTGGTTTAAAAATGATATTTTGATATACGACCATGTTAACCTTCCTGAACTGCAAAGTGGGAATGATTCTAGCAAAGCCATTGTAAGTTTATCATTTGTCTTAACCCACCACTGTTGTTATTATTAGTACTGTCAACCAGTATGTGTAGCACTTACACACTAGCGACTGATATCTAGGTGTTCTAGAGTTGACGCAATGTTGGTAGGTGTTGTACGGTTACAATGCTCCATTTGAATTGTCATTGGTTTTTCATTTGTTGTTTATTTAATTATTTTATCAAGCCCACACCATCTTTAGCATTATTATTCTTGCCAGTGAGTTCAGTATAGTAATTAAGGAGCTACATTGTCAAATGATGCTCATTTTGTGGCATTCTTACATATATTTTCTACGTTTATATGTGACACAGTTATATGTCTTCTTCTTATTAGTTATGTACTTTTAAGTGGAGATGACATTTATATGATATTGCTTGAATATATGCACAGTTTATTCATATCAGGCATTTACTTAGCTGAGATAATATTAATATATATGTATACAATTATGCTAGTCAATCATTTGTTTTTTTATATATAATGCGGTAATGTATCAGGAAACTGAGTATTTTCCTTGGATATAGTGTACATGAACACATTGGCCAAAGAGTATGATATTTATTCAAAAGTTCTGATGCACATTTGAAAATGACCAATATAGAAATGACAATTGTTTTTCTGCCTTGTCACCTTTGGGTGTTTACAAGATTATACTTATAGTTTTAATTAGCTTTCATACAAGTAGCTTCCTTACAAGAAGGTATCTTACTATATAAATTCCAATACTGTCCAATATATGTAAATAGTTAATTTATGTTAACCCACTCACCATGTTAGAAATGTTTGCAAGCGTAATGTCTCTGGCATGCTTAATAGTTTCATAAATAGTAACGGCCTCAGGTAAGTAAATTTGCCTGGGGTTTAAACAGCTGGAAGACAAGGTAATTAAATAACCGTTTGACCATACCCACATATTTTTTATAGAAGAAAAGTTCTCTTTCTTGATGAAGAAATGGAATGAAACATAGGTGTTTAGTTTTAAGTCTGGTACAAAGAAGACAGTTTTCATTGTTCTAGTGATGTTTTGATAAACTGAGACATCACTTCAGGACTAAAGCATTATATAAAAACATACATTTAGCTTTCATGGCAATAACAGGAAGCATAGTAGTATTTCTAATGCCTAACATAGATGTTCTGGATTTCTTAGAGACCATAGGAGTTTGGTTAGTAATCTTATATATAGCACATCCATTTTTCTGCTTGTATGCCCCTAAAATTAATGTATTTTCAGCAGAAACTTAATTACATTCTTCAGTCTTCATTGTATATAAGGGATATGTTTCTAAATGAACCACATTGGCATAATTTCTAGTGTATTGCTGCTGAGGGACCACATTACACAAATCAAGTTTTCTAGTAAAACCTAGAACCATACAGGATAGACAGCACAAAAAAGGAAGCTGTTCTGGAAGGTTACAATAAATTTCCATCAAACCCTTCAGGTCCTGTAGATCTACATGAGTTTTCTGGGCTAAAGTATCTCTTTTAAGTTAGTGACATCCTCAATTTATTTACTACAGTGATGGGTGGAAGATCAAGAGACCTTTCTGGAAAAACAACCTTGGGGGAGGTCTGAGGTATATGAAAAATGGGTCTTCTGTAAAATAAAATAAGAAAAGCTATTATGAAATCTATGATAATGTAAATTTCTTAAGATTAATATCTCTTAATTTAATCAGATTTTAATTTTTAATATTGACTTGGTTACACTTTCAAAGGATTTATAAGAAGTGATTACCTTTTCTTGCTCCAGTGTCATAAAGGTGTATATTGTTTAGGTGCTGTCTGTTGAAGGCAGCGTTGTAAGTATCTTGCAGCTTGGAGATATGGTCGGAGTGTTCAATGGTAGCTTTCTGTACCTGCTTGTTGAGACAGCAGACAAATGTTTAGTGTGAGTAAATTGAGTAACTGACTACTGCCTTTTATAGTAATCCTAGTACAATTGAAATAAAATAGCTTGATATAAGCCATAAGGTATTCCTACCTTGGCAGCCATGCCATGAATAAGTCAGTCTTATGGCATTTTACTTTTAATTTTTCAAAGAAATGAAGCAGTGATCTTGTACAGATTCTGCACTGAATAGTACTTTTCTTTGATTGTTCAAGGAATAATACCCCTCCTATGGAATTCAGAGGTTCGTCATGACCCCCTCCCATTTCAAGGTATGAAGTTGTCACAATTAGGTCTCAGTTTAAAGAAATTGTAATTGAAATGAACAAAGCAGTGGTGATACAAAGTACATCATGGTGGAGTAAACTTCAAATTTGTTTTTACAATTTATATTTTTTTATAAGTGCTTAATATGGCTGTCTCTTATATTTCTTTAACCTGAAATTATTAGAGATCCTGGATTGAAATCTCAGCCTTGATACTAGGTATCCTGACAGGGATTTTTGTGATTTTCCTCAGCTACTTCAGGCAGGCAACCAGGATAGTACCATAAATTATGCCAGGATCACTTCCTTCCACATTCAGTCTGATTCATGAGTCATCTCATCATTCAGTTCTGTATAATCTGATATATTGACAGCATTGTTAAATAAACCATAATGAATGAATAAATACATAGTTACTAATACTGGCCAGTAGAGAATTAATTATTTGACTAAAGGAAAAGGTCATGTTTCCTTGGTGAAATTTTAAATTTTCTCTACAGGTCAACATCAGGCTGTGGTGGAGGTGATGCCATTAGTAAGGGATCTTTGGCATTAAAGATGCACATCAGGATGCACCAGAAAGTACTGGCTATGTGCTCTCTGTTTATGGGATTTGTCCTTGTCAAGAAGAAGAAGGAGAAGCTTTATGTTGATGTGTACAAGACTGGCCCAAGAATGGTTCAAGTAGAAAAAAAAGTTTCAGCTCAGCTGCCAGAATCTGCTTGTAATGTAAGTAAGGCTTCAGTTCAAGAATGTGCATTTAAGAGAAGTACACATCTACTTTGTAACTAGTGACTGACATATTTCTCTGCTAGAAACCTTTGTTAATTTAAAAATTGTAGTTAAAATATTATCGAGGGCTTGACCTGTAGCCAGGTACTGGCATGGAAGTCATTACAAATTACCTGACTTTAAAATATTCACTGGGAACTAGCAATGAAATTGCAAATATTATCTGATGACAACAGTATTTGAAAGGACAATATTTAAAACTGATCTGTACATTTTTCTTTTCATTATTTAATACTAGCAGGCATGTTTTCTGTTTGAATTAATAAACATTTCCAAATTCAAGTACTGTGTTGTAGTACAGTATATTTACAGTTCTTTAACAGTTACATTTTTGTCCAACTTATGCCAGTGTTTATTGCAATCACACCATTTCATTGGGGTCACCTTTGAACAACTTGTTTCTCCGTATCATTTTGTAATTTTCAGGTTTACTTTATATTGTTTTGTTTATGTAAGCTCTTGCACTCTTATTGTTAATATGTTAAGTTTAAACTAGGTGTAATTCAATATATAGGGTAAAACAGAATTTGTGCTCCATCTTGCAAATTTTGTTTCACTCTGTATGTGTTACTGGAAATACCCAGAAGCCATCTAAGCTTGGTTGTCATAAGCCAAACTAGAAGAAGTAATTATTATTGAAACATAACCTAACAGTGACTACTGCTATTTTTAGTCCATATAGGTTGAACACATCCCTTTGTAAAAACTAGTTGCTGTAGGTATGGTTACATGACATTAAGTTTCAGTAATAATTAGTTCTAGTTTTGTGTAGTGTAAACTAATTTAGACAGATTTAGGGTATTTCCAGTAACATATACATTAAAAAATTTATAGCATTTAGTAGGTATGTGCAAAAATAATTTTTTCAGTTTGAGACAAGATAAGGACAAGAATTCTGAGAATTCAGAGAGAACTAGAATTTTCCCTGCTAGACTACTACCACCACTACTTTTTTTTTATAAAACAATTTGTATTACCAGCCACTTTTCACTTACTCCAGTGAAATTTCCCATAAATCACTGTGATTACAAAAGACTTCCAGGTCCATGTCCTTTGTCACCACTTGTTAAATCTTAAAATTGTTATTTTAGACCCTTTTCTATAAATCACTGCATCTAAAATTGACTACATAATACTTTTATTATGTGCTGTAATAAGTTGTTCCATTGCTTCATTAGTTAAACACACTGTTGCTTATTTATCTTACGGTTTATGTCTGGTATGTGCTGGCGTAGCTCAGTCGGTATAGTGACTGGCTACGGACTGGGCGACCGGGGTTCGATCCCCGACGGGGGGAGAGGATTTTTCCTCTAGCCTCTGCGTCCAGACTGGCTCTGGGGCCCGCCCAGCCTCCTCTTCAATGGGTACCGGGGGTCCTTTCCCGGGGCGTGATGCTGACCACTCCCCCCCATCTAGTGCCGAGGTCAAGAATGAGTAGGAGCTATACCTCCACTCCCCCCAAGTGCCTACATGGCGTATAGTGGGACAGCTTTACTTTATGAGCCGGGATAGCTCAGTCAGTATAGTGACTCGCTACAGGCTGGACGACCGGGGGTCGATCCCCGCTGGGGGCAGAGGATTTTTCCTCCCACTCACCCCAAACGCCTACACGGCACGTAGCAGGACAAACTTTACTTTACTTTTTATATCTGGTAGAAAAGTATTTTCAGATAAATCTGTCACTGTATGGTTATCTGTTAGCTTGGGAATCTGAACATATTTCATGACAGAGAAACTATGTATTGGGTGTTACACCATGGGCCATGAGGTAGAAGACTACATTCAGTCTGTCATGCTTGTATGTACCAGAATTCCTTGATTTTACATTACACTGTGTATTTCAGCACTCCATATTCTACTCAGCATTAGAAAGCTGCTAAGAGGATGATAGTTATCTTCATCACTCTCATTCATTGGAGTTGGTTTTGGTGTGATAGACCATGAAGCAATTTTGAAGTTGAAAACCCAGTTCACAGTTTTTATACAAAGTAGAAGCTGCCTTCATTCATTTTACACAGTCTTGTACTTTTTCTTGGGCTTTGCCTTTTCAGTTGAGGAAACCTCACAACAAGTCTCAACACTGCCAGTGTCTTTAATGGCCTGACAAGTTAAGAAGCTTCCATTTCCTTCCTCTGACCTATGAGTTTTCTTGTTGGTTATAGTTTTTTGATGGTGGTTTATTCAGGTTGGAGAGCATTATTTATTACTTGTGTTCTGAAAGTGAAATTTGCAATGTCTGTTAATAAACCAATTGTGTAATTATATTTATTTTTTAAAGTAATCTAATATTATGATGATTCTGCACATACAGGATGTTTCTTGTTCACTAACATCTGTAAGATGTGGTGATTTGGATCCAATTCTAGCAAGTTTGCTCCTTGAAGAAAAAGCATTGGTATGGTCACAGGTGATTTTTATTGGTTTGGGTTGTGGCCAAGTGTACTGTGTTCCAGTAGCAACAGAAAGCAGATCTCCAGTGGGTATTCCTAAAATGTTATACTGCACCACACAACCTATTGCAGGAATTGTGTGTCTCAGAGGTTGGTAAATTATATCTTGATTTAATTTTAGCCTGTTTCTCCAAAATGAAGAAGACTGGAAATTTTCATGCTTACAACATAAAGATAAGTTGTTGCCGTGCTAATGAACCACACCATGAAGGCTTGGTCGAGGTGGGACTTCCGAGACAGTGTTTGGAGTATGCAGAAGAGGCTGTCACCTTTTTCCTCTTTCGTATTTACTATGCCGGTCTCCTTTCTGCTCTCACTGTGCTTTCTGTGCATCGTTCTCTTTCTTCCCGTTGAACCCTTTTGCACATTGAACATCCACAACATGTGCCAAGTCTGAATTGTGTTGCATACAATGTTATACACCTTCTTCCTTTCTAGGTTTATTCTTGATGTGTAGTGTTAAGGCCTCATAGGTTTAGAAACTGACTCACCAGCAAGGATCTGTTCTATCTCTGTGGTGCTGTCCTGTGGTCTTTGGTGCAAACTCCAACATATGTATCTTGAACCCAGAAGTAGTCAGATCAATAATGTTTTCATAAACTGAACAGTATTGAATTGCCTCATAGCTATCTTAGGAGTTTGAAGCGCGTGTAGCATTTCCTGCTGTATATTGGATTTATATGTTGTACATTTTTCACAACTATTTTGCTCAAATTCATCTTAAGATTTTAAACAGTAAAACATGCACAGAAATAATGGCTTTATAAA